ATGCCCATTGGTAGGAAGGGGACAGTTAGAGTGACCAATGATATAACTCTGTTTTCTGTTTTACATGTCCCTAGACTTCATACCAACCTACTGTCTGTTAGTTCTTTGACAAAAAAAATTGAATTGTTCCGTGACCTTTCTTCCTGGTAATTGTGTTTTGCAGGATCTGGAGTCTAAGAAGATGATTGGGAGTGGTCATGAGGTGAATGGAGTCTACCTTTTGGATGAGATTCCGAGGCATCAGGGCCATCATGTTAGCAACAACAATAGTAGTGGGTCAGATTCAGTGAACCAGATTATGCTTTGGCACAATCGCTTTGGACATCTTTCTTTTATTTCTTTGAAATGTCTTTTCCCAAATTTGTTTGAGTCTGTTCAGTTATCTACTTTGGAGTGTGAGAGTTGTCAGTTAGGAAAGCATTGTAGACAGTTGGTGTGTTCGGAAGCGTGTTAAGCACTTCGGAACACCAATTTAATATTTATAAAATTTTTTTGGTTCTCAAACAATGACAAATGCAGTAAAATGATAAGAATGGGTCGTCTCCACAGGGAAGCGAGAGAAAAATTAATACGTACTCAAATCCGGACAAGAGAACACAAGATGGAAGATGGAAGTGCAGAAATATAAGAATTAATTAATTAAATTGAAAAAGATATAGAATTCGAACAGTTCTGAAAGTTAAAAGTGCAGAAACATAAATAAATACATAAATAAATTAACAAAAGAAACGAAATAAAAATCTGTTATCCGATCGGAGGTAGTAGTCTCCGGATCTCTCCTTTGACCCTCGAACTTCTCGAGCTAGGCCTTTCGTCTTACCTGGCCGAATTGCAGATTTGCAGAAAATAAAACGAAGATCAAACGGAATGAAAATAAATTGCAGAAAGTAAATAACGAAACAGGAATTGAAAGAATAGAAATTAAAACTAGAGTAAAGTAAAAGTGGTTGGGATCCTATTCCAGAGGTGGCAGTAGTGGTGTTGGCGAACTACAAGTAGGAACCCCTCATCTTGCCTGGGCGTCCTCCTCTTGCTCTACCCTTGAAATTCTCAAGATCAACCTTTCGTCTTACCTGGGGGTAGAATCCAACCCTTTCTTAGGAGCTCTTGGGTCCTTTTTATAGAGAAGGGTGGATACAATTGGGATTAGAGATAAAGAAGGGGGCGGCAGCTGGGTTTTAGCAAAGATATGGGCGCCCTAGGGTTTCTAATGGAGGGTTAGGATGGTTTTGGGGTGTTCCTAAGGCTGAGAATAGAAGGAGAGGGCGCCCAATATTATGTAGGGCTAAGATTTGGGCACCCAGAAATAGGTGGTGGAGATTGAGGCGCCTAGGGCTGAAAGGTGGAGATTAAAAGAGGTGGGTGGCGCCCTAGAGTGGATGGCTGAGATAGAAGATGGAATGGAGGGCTGAGATCTAGTGGTTAGGGGCTGAATGGTGAGGATTTGCAGTTAGGTGGCGCCGTAGGGTTTAAAAGCTACAAAAAGAGTGACTTAGAATGAGTGGTGGAGATTAGAAGGAGTGGAGGGTGGAGATTAAACAGCTGGGGGCGGCTAGGGTTTGCTAAGGGGGAAAATAATAGGTTAAAAGGCGCCCTTGGGTTTGTTAAGGAGAGGAGAGCATGCTAATACAATAGGAGGGGCGCCATTATGGGTTTAGCAGATAGGAGGCGCCCTCCTGTTCTCAGTTTTTCACAAAAACACCCCCTCTCTTTGTTGGACTTCACACCAGCTTCCCAAAAACTGCATTTCAGCCATGTAACTTCCCCAGTTTTCCACAGAATTTGCATAGACCCTCAGAGGTTAGAACATTGAATTTAACTCGGAAAAGGGCATACTTTGACTATTCTAAGGCYGAAAATACCCCTGAAATGATGCCCTTAAGGCATCAAAATGTAGAGTTATCAACAGTCTTTTAAACCAAGTAATAAAAGAAGTACTTTTGCTTTTAATATTGTTCGCACTGATGTATGGCGGCCATATCATATCCCTTCCATGGGAGGATACCGTTACTTTCTTTTGTTTGTGGATGATTATACACGATATTCTTGGAAACCTTTGCACCAGTAGCTAAGATGAGTTCAATTCGTATCATTTTCTCAAATCATGAGAATCTGAAGCTAGAATCCTATACAGATGCAAACTGGGCAGGATGCTTAGATGACAGGAGGTCTACATTAGGAGTTTACACCTTTGTAGGTGGAAACTTGATCTCTTGGAAGAGTAAGAAGCAAGCGGTTGTGGCAAGGTCAAGTGCAGAGGCTGAGTATAGATCCATTGCTCATGGTGTCTCAGAACTTCTTTGGTTAGATTTCTTTTGAGTGAGATTGGGGTGAAAGCAGAGGAACTTATGATGCTGTACTGTGACAATCAGGCTGCAATCAATATTGCCCATAATCCAATTCAGCATGACAGGACAAAACATATTGAAGTTGATAGATGCTTTATAAGAGAAAGGATAACAACCGGAGAAGTCTGTCTGCCTTATGTCTCTTCAGAGTTGCAGCTAGCTGATGTTCTCACTAAAGGGTGGCAAAGAACAAGCTTGAACATGATCTACACAAGTTGGGAATGTGTGATATTTATTCCCAACTTGAGGGGGTGAAGATTAATCCGTTTTATGGTGGTTTTCTGAGTAGATGTTTTATGTTAGTTGTTAGATAGGAGGTGGGGACCACAGTAGTTATGTGAGTCCAAATTTTATTATGTTATCTGAGTAGATGTTTTATGTTAGTTGTTAGATAGGAGGTGGGGACCACAGTAGTTATGTGAGTCCAAATTTTATTATGTTTTTGAGTGTTATATATGCTGTTTTATGTTTTGCCGCCTTATAAGGGCATAGTTGTCTTTGTATTGCTCTATTATTTTTAGTAAAAATAATAAA